GGCGGAGGCGCTCAACAAGGCCAAGGGCAAGGAGCGCGCCCGCGCCGAGCTCGAGCAGCACATCTCCGACAAGGAGCAGCGCTACGCCCGCTACCTGGCCATGCTGCAGGAGCTGCGGGGCCAGCAGCAGGAGGAGGAGGCCTGGTACCGGCAGCAGGTCGACGCCCTCCGGCTGACCTGCGAGGCCAAGCTGGCCGAGGTCGGCGCCCAGTGGAAGGCCTGCCAGGCGGCCAAGAAGGAGGTGGCCGTCTACACCATGGGGCGGCGGCTGGGGGGCAGGCAGGCGGCCGTCCAGCAGGTGGACCAGATCCAGGGCAGGGAGGAGAGCAAGGAAAGGGAGATGACGGAGGTGAGCCCTGCGGGTGGTGGGAGAAGAACGGCACGGAAGATCAGCAGAGAGGTGCTCCCTCTAAGCTGTGGGGTCTCATGAGCAGGAATTCTACTCTGTGAGCGACTGGCATGGAAGTTGTGGGCAGGTGATTTGGCCACTGCACAAACTAGTTTGCTCGGTAGCCCTCCATCCTGAGCGGAGACAAAAATGTGTGAGCCGGAGGCTAAAAAACGGTGAGCTAGCTCACACCAACTCAGCTTAGAGGGAACACTGGGTTATTAATTCCTCCAACTCTTCTTGGAGGGTTTAGTGCCTCGTCATCTTTGCCCATTTACTTTTGTGGGTGTCTCTTTCTGCTTCTGAACAACCATTTGCTCTCTAAATGGATGGGCAAAAAAACCTTTTCACAGCCTGACCTCAAGACACTGTAATGTAATCAAGTGATTTGGGGGAATCTCTAATTCCAGCTCCTGCCAACCTAGCAGTTCGAAAGCAAGAAATTGCAAGTAGATAAATAGGTACCACTTCGGTGGGAAGGTAACAGCATTCCGTGCACCTTGGTGTTTAGTCATGCCGGCCACATTGGACTCGACTGGCTTTTGAGCAAGGGAACCTTTACCTTTAGTGATCCATTTCCATGCTGCCACACTCCCCAAAATCCAGTCATCAAACCTCAGCTGTCAACATTTATAAGACGAACACATTTTTATTCCAGTATAAGCTTTTGTAGACTAAAACCCATGGCAACTGATGTACATGGGCTCTACTCCAGAAAAGTGTATGCTGTAAAAAAACCCCAACTTGCTAGGTGTCCCAAGGCCTGTGTTTGTTTATGCTGCAGCAAGCCAATACAACCACTCTGGATTTATTTAGCATGGGAAATGTGTGGCTTATGAAATCATCAGCATAACATAGACAGCGGAAAAGGCTGCTCAGCAATTCTTAATTGGCCTCAGTCCTAAAACTTAGTCCTTGTATGATAATGGATTAGAAATTCAGGTGGGTCGCCATGTTGGTCTGAAGAAACAGAACAAAGTTTGATTCCAGTGGTGCCTTGTAAGACCAACTAAATTTAATTCTGGGTATGAGCATTTGTATGCAAGTAAAAGTTATACCCAGAATTAAACTCTGCGGGTCTTAAAGGTGCCACTTGTTCTAATGATTTACAAAGAGGGCAGAATAATCATAAATTTACCAGATTTCACCTTCCATCTTTTTTGTCATATTCTTTGAGGCATGTTATTTACTTCAGCAACGCCAAACGGTGGTCTCTGAACTGTGTGCATGGGGGAAAAGGTAGGTTCCACATCAGACTGATAGGATGCAACACAGATATTATCACCACCATGCCTGGCTGTTGCCTATTCTTTTTATGGCCTTGCTGATGACAGTTGGTAACCAGATTTCTCAAGGTGTACACCCAGATACAATGTAAGGATGCCTGTCTGCTGCCTCTTCTCAGGCCTTATGTAGTTTGGTGTAGTGGTTAAGTGCGCGGACTCTAATCTGGGAGAACCGGGTTTGATTCCCCACTCCTCCACTTGCACCTGTCTGGATGGCCTTGGGCAAGCCGTAGCTCTGATAAGGGCTGTTCTTGAAAAAAGAGCAGTTTCTGTCAAGAGCTCTCTCAGCCCCACCCACCTCACCGGGTGTCTGTTGTGGGGAGGGGAAGGGAAAGGAGTTTGTAAGCCGCTCTGAGACTCCTTTGGGTAGTGATAGGTGGGGTATGAATCCAATCTCTTCTTCTACCTCCCAGGGTGTCTGCTGTGGGGAGGGGAAGGGAAAGGAGTTTGTAAGCCACTCTGAGACTCCCTTGGGTAGTGAAGGGCAGGGTATAAATCCAATCTCTCCTTCTTAATGTATAGCTTGAGTAAAACCAGAGCAAATGATTTGCTAGTGTGGTTCATCCGTTTTTAATGATTCTAGGTCCGTCTGGAAAATATAAAGTTGAAACACAGGATCTTTAAGCTTGAAGCGAGCTTAAAAGCCCAAGAGGAGTTGGCAGAGGGTCTGCATTTAATAGATTTTGAGCAGCTGAAGATAGAGAACCAGACCTACAATGAGAAGATTGAAGAACGCAATGAGGAACTTTTGAAGCTCCGGCGAAAGATCACCAACACGGTGCAAGTCCTGACTCAAGTAAAGGAAAAACTGCAGTTTGTGGAAGCTGAGAATCAAGGCCAGAAGGCTCAGCTGATGGCGGTAGAAGCTCTAGTAGCCCAAAAGAGAGAGATCCTAACCAAGACAAAACAGGCACGGGATCGGTTGCGAATACATAATGAAAAGCTTCAGCAGAAATGTGGCCTGCTTGGAGATAAAGTATTGTTGAGGGACTTTGAGGAGAAAGTGAATGCTGCAGAGATGCTTAAGGAGAGGCTGGAAGCGCTGAAACTTCAGCATGCTGGACTTGCCCTTACTTGTGATGGAGTTAAGAAGAAAATCAGAGGAATAAAATCTTTTCTACCAATCTGAACAACGTTAAGTTCAATGTCCAAGTTAAGTTTTTGTGTGAACAAAGGATATTATATATATTTATAGTGTTTTTGTTCTGCTCTTCTGAGAAAACCTGTTTCGCCACGTGGCTCACATCAGGCATTCAGTACACAGTGCTGGTGGCAGGCACATATGTGAAAAGGCAACACTGGCTCTTGAACAAAGACAGACTAGCAGAAGGAAAAGTTAGCAGTGGGAAATCATTCTGACAAGGTCAGAGGTGAATTAAGAAACATTTACATCCAGTTGGGAAGAACGCTAGCTGATCTTTCCTTGCTGCTACTCTTATTGGGATGGAAATGGTGGAATTAAGCAGCCCTTTTATGGGGGCAAGGCCGTAGTGCTCTTCCTTTTGCCTCTGTAGCCAGAGAGCATTAAAATGCACATAACTGTTATTTATTACTAGATTTGTACAAGCAGGGGACCCACAAGGACTTGCTGGGGGCATCTCATCTTTCTATTCCCCCACTATTTCTTTTCCCTGGCAACCCCCAAAGCCTCCCCTTTCCCAACTTCCTATTGCCCCTCACACCCACCAGCCAACCAATGATTATCTGACCCTGTCTTCAGCTTTTCCTCCTTCCTGGCACAGCCAGGAAAACTCTGGCTGAATTGCACGGTGCCGGCCACTGAGCTCAATTGCGCTCAATAGTTTCATTCATTTTAACGGGGACTGTGTGAAAGGAGCTCTGAAAACAGTAAGCCTTGATTCGTTGTATTCCTATAACTTTAATAATCAATTATATCGTAAGTGCTCCACCTCTTTTCTGTGTGATTAGCTCAGTCACCTGAGAGTATAGCCCCACACTGATTATAGATTCTTAATCATGTTTTAGCCTACATTAACAGCATTCACACATGACGGCTACTGTGAGACGTTCAGAGATCCTTTTTATCTTCATATGGAAAACGGATACAGATATGAAGCGATCAGAGAGCAAATAGGATGACGTTTACTGTAATTGTAGCATGTTAAACAAGCCCCAGTTAAAGGAAGAGGAGGCTATTGTAATATTCCTGTTTTGCATCCCAAATTGTGAGATATGGCTGACATACAATTTAAAACTTCAGTAAAATCCAACAAATGTAAACAAGTTTAAAGCCCGCTCCACTGCTCCATTTTGCTGATTGCTCAATACTGACTTGTTGATGGTATTTTAAAAAGTACACTATTATTGTTTTTAATTCTGTGGCAGCTGCCTTTGAGTCTCTTAGACTGAAAGCATGAAGCATATATGTTTTAACTTTCCATTGACACCCAACCCCCCACTTTCCCACCAGTATTGTAAAAACAGGCAATGAGGTAGGTTGGAGAGAAACACACATGCAATCGATTGGAAAAGAACAGAAAAAATGTTTTTTCCCCCAAACACTGTCAAGAGAACTCTGGTGCAGGGAAATATTTTGACTATTAGGGTTGACTTTTGAGCTAAATGCAACTCAGCCTGGCAAAACAGGAGACCTGGCTGTATTCTTTTCTCCTGGAAAAGCAGCATGTCTGTGCCTAAGTGCTTTGAAATGGTCAAGGAGGAAAGCAGCAACGGCTGAGGGCCAAATGAACAGCAATTTTTCCATCATGGCAAAACTGCCCAAGACAGTCCTGACTCCTGACTTGAGAAGCAGAGGGCTGATGGCTTTCCAACTTGTGAACAACTCAAATGAGCCCAGTCTGAGTCTACAAAGGAACAGCTTAATCGTACGTCTGCCTTCAGGAAACTCACAGTGAGGAGGGAGTGAAGGCCAGTTAGACTGAGGAATGCCACAGCCAATGAATGGGAGAAAATGAAAGGAAATTACTGGCAAGGATTCCGCTCTCCATTGAAGCAAGTGCAGCCACTGATAGATGGGGTAGCCGTATTAGCTGTGCACAGCATGGCCAGAAAATCAACTAGGGCCCCTGACACACGGGAGGGGGGGGGGGAACACGGGCAAAGTGCAGCTTTTTAAAGCCGCACCAAAAAAGACACGCAGTGGCGGGATCACATAGATCCCCTGAGCCGCCGCACACTTCCTCCCCAGCATGATCATATGCCAGGGGGGAAGCCACTGACAGGGAAGCGAGGCAGCCGAACTGCGCATGTGTGAGCATGCACAGTTCGGCCGGGAGCCGGGATTGCTACGAACGAAGAGTGCGCCGGCGATCCCACGGCCACGCTTGATGCGGCATCCCAGGTAGTTCTCCTCTGGGGGTGGTTCTTTTTTACAGCGCGTTATTGGCCTGAAGGGACAGATCGGGGACGGGTGCGAGCCGATTCCCAGATGTTGCGGTGTGCTCGCGTCCGTTTGCTGCGCCCCTGATCCGTCCCTCTCCCGGGCCAAAATCTCCCGGGCCTTGGACCTAAATAATGTGATGGTTAGGGCACGAGAAGGACTGCCTCTTCCCGTAATTCCAGCCTACCAGTTAAGATCCCCACCCACGAGATCCTTGTTCTCTATGCTGGCAGTTCCCTCGAGGCTCACCCACTTGGCTGCCCTTCAGATGCCAGGCCAATACATTTCTCTTTAGCCATAAACTGTCTCTGTAATCCTCTTCTAGCCAGAGGGTTGTCTTACATAAATAATTTTAGGTTGCTTAGTATTTTTATGGTTTGTTTTAAATTTAATTTTTTTAAATTATGGGGTTTTAAAATTTTATTGACTTCGTTTTTACTTAATGAGCCACCTCAAGGAAATCCCTAAAAAGTGGCATATATATATTCTACATAGGGGGTGCGTGTTCAGCATAAACCGAACCCCCCAAAAAACCCACCCCTGAAAAATATCAGTATTTTGGGGGGTATTATTTAAGCCAAATACAGATCAGAGATTTGTATTCAGATACCAGTATAGCCGAGTCTGAAAAAAGCTGATTTTTTTTTTAAAAAGCTTTTACTCAGGTGTATTCAGCTATACTGTGAGCCAGCCCCCAGTGAGGCGGGGTGGAGCTCTCAGCTCCTGCTGCCCCGGTCACCTGCTGGGCTGGCAAGTTCACCCAGAAGGTGTTAAAAGGGATTGCAAGCCCTTTAAACACCTTCAGAGTTCTCCAAGCCATGGAGTTGCATGGCTTGCAGAAGGCATTTAAAGGGACCGCAATCCCATTAAATACCTTTTTTTCCTCCATTGGTTTCAATGGAGGATGGGGGCACCTTCTTTGGGGTCATAGAATTGGACCTCATGGTCCAATCTTTTTGAGACTTTGGGTTTGTTTGTTTTTAAGGAGAGGCACCAGCAGGTAGGCTACAAATTTTGTACCTCTATATCAAAAAACAGCCCCCCCCAAAAAACAAAATTGATTCTTCGTTATAGCCTATGAGGATCCTTGACTATAATGGTCCCATTAGGGTATAATGGAGCCGGAAGAATTCGTATTTCCTGAATCCAAATACTATAGTGGTACTGGGATTCAGGAATATTGGGGAAATACTGATATTCCTCAGGTTCAATATACCCGAACCTGAAAAATACAAAGGGTTTTTTTTGCACACCCCTAATTCTAAATAAATGAATACGGTAATTTGTTGCTCAAGTGGGCAACAGATTTTTCTTTAATCAGCTGTTACTGATACTGCAGCTTATTGAGGCCTGTACAGCATAAAACCTGTGGGCCAACTGTAACCCATTTTCCATTTGTTTGCAGAAACATCAAGCAGAGAATGCTTGCATCACCGTTTCTTCATTACTACTTCTCTTCTAGATTTACAAGCCAGTGCTGAAGTAAGGGTCAGTACTCCCAGGCTGTTATAGCTAACCAGGCTGCATATATGTCGCTGATTGAGTGGAAGCCCGTATGAGCTGCTGTCAAAGACCTCTGGTGGTACAGGTGGGGAGGCCAGTGAGAGGTGGTTACAAACCCTCAAGGTACAGAGAGAAGGCGGGTAGAGCGTCCTGTGAGATACAAAGAATGAAAAGATTTTTTTAACATACAATGGGTTTAAGAGAAGACACTGAGTTCTAGTGAGTTGAAATAGCTCCTTAAAAAGTGTTCCTGCTGTAACGGTACAGTTCATTTACGTTAAGAAAAACTGTGGTTGAAGCTGTGCACCCCAAGGCTTAGACAGTTCATCTGATTTAAAAGGCTCCAAAAATGGTGGTAAGGAAGCTGATAGACCCAAGGTTGCTAAAATGTGAAATGACAGGAACAGAAGTCTTCACACTGCAATTTCAAAAGGAAAATGTAAGAACATAAGAAAAGCCAATGTTGGATCAGGCCAAAGGCCCATCCAGTCCAACACTCTGTGTCACACAGTGACCAAAAATACCAGGTGCCCTCAGGAGGTCCAGCAGTGGGGCCAGGACACTAGAAGCCCTCACACTGTTGCCCCCCCCCCAGCACAAAGAATACAGTGCATCACTTGCCCTATCTATACCTTGTGGCTAATAGCCACTGATGGACCTTTGCTCCATATGTTTATCCAGTTTCCTCTTGAAGCTGTCCATACTTGTAGCCACCGCCACCACTTCCTGTGGCAGTGAATTCCACATGTTAATCACTCTTTGGGTGAAGAAGTACTTCCTTTTATCTATTCTAACCTAACCGCTCAGCAATTTCATGGAGTGCCCATGAGTTCTTGTATTGTGAGAAAGGGAGAAAACTACTTCTTTCTCAACCTGCTCTATCCCACGCATAATCTTATAAACCTCGATCATGTCACCCCTCAGCTGTCGTTTCTCCAAGCTAAAGAGACCCAAGCGTTTTAACCT